GACCATGTGGGCCCTGAGACAGAGCGGTTACTAAGGTCAGACTCGGGTAGGCTCCTGGGAGCTGCGGATGTTGGATTTTGCGGGATTTTGCGGGTGTGAATGAGTGCGATGCAGTGTCATTGCAGGAGTTTCCCCGCCAGACTGGTGAGGGCCGCGCGAGGCACTGGCAGTTCTGCGAAGACCCTGGGCTTGGAATGGCTTAATCCTGGGCACCTCCTCCTACAGCCCCTAAATCTCTGCCCTTCAGTTTTACCCTAAATGCCTCTGCTACTATAGGACACCGCTCTGGTCCCCCCTCCTACTCCCCAACCATGTGGCAGCCTGGCAGGAAGCTAGCTGTGGGCAGCACCATCCTGATCACCCCCATGCATTCCCCGTTGGGCAGAGTCACCCACATGTGCCATGACGTGGTTCCTGCCACCCTGTCTAGTGTGGGGGAGAGGACATCATCTGAGTGGCCCTTTGGGTCTCCTTGGGGGGTATTGACCCACGCTCCTGTTAATTAATGTTCCTTCCCCTAAATCATTTGGTCAAGTTTATGAGGAGGTTCGAAGTTGGCTGTGCCCTCTGGCACCTTTCCCCCCAAGCCACTCCTTGCTCAGACTCTAGGGTCTTCGGTGGGGGTGCTCCTCGGAACGGTGTGACATGAGGGTGCGGCCTGCCCCCAAACACAAACCTCAGTGCCCAGCCGCTGTCCTCTGGGTGGCATGGCCAGGCAGGACCTAGGCTGGGCGTCTTGGGGTCTGTTTGTGAGCACTGTCTGAGGTCTGGGTGAGGGCCATCTGGGGAAGGTAACCCTATCCTGTGATGAATAAACAGGGTTATCTTCACTTGCCCAGCACCCCACACCCCTTTCCGATGGTGGTGGTTTGGGGAGTGTGGGAAGCTGGCAGGGCCCCTGGCAGGATGACCAGGGTTGTCTTGACTTACTGGGTTTTGGGGAAGGAGTGTGGCAACCCGACTCCAGCTTCCAGGGCTTTGGCTGCACATCCTCTGCCGCCTGCTGTCTTTCTTCCCTCCGTTCCCCTCTCCACCCTCTGGCTGCTGTCTGGAGCCCACACGGTTTGTGGGGGGTGAGGGCCTGGATCTCTGTGTGTGTCCAGGGAGTGTACTGGGGATTGGCAGGATTGGCTGAGGGTGTCTGGGTGTCCCCGCAGGGTGGGCGGTGTGCGGGGACCAGGCCCAGAGTGTGAGAATGTGTCAGGGTTGGTGCGTCTGTCCCAGTCTGGCTCGGGTGTGGGTGTCTCTTGCTCCGTCTGGATCTCGCCTCCCGCTCCAGTCCCCGCCCCCCCCTCCTTCCCCAGCTGGGACCGCCTGCTCGCTCTCCCTCTCTCTCCGCAACTGGAGCCTCCCTTGCTCCTTCCTGGAATTTGGAGAGGAGGAGGAGGAAGAGGCAGGCAGACAGACCTCCCACACTCTAGCCTGCCCGCCTGGCATCACAGGGAAATGAACTAGGCGCTATGGAACTAAGGTTTCCTTGGCTTCCCCAGACCCTCCAACACACATCACAGAGTAGGGGGGCAGGTTTTACAGAAGGGGCATGGCCGCCCCCACACCCACCCAATGCCTTGCTTCCACCCAGCATCCTGCCTGCCTGGGCCCCTGCGGGGACCTCCAGGCACCACTGTCAGCCTGGGAGGGGGGTGGGGGGGATTAGACTGCTGCCAGCCTGGCCAGCACCTGTTGCCAACCCCCAGCCCTGTAACTGGAGCTGGCTGGGAGTGGGCTGCAAAATGACAGGTGGAATTTCTGCAACCAGGCAACCCCCCCTCAACCCACTGCATATGCCTCTCCCTTCCCAGAACGAGGAAAGCCTGTGCCCCCTCCCAAATGTCAACCTGATCTCATGGCCGCCGATGTCCCTCTCCTGTCGATGGGGGCAGGGCCTGGGCGATGGGGAAGGGTATGAGTTTATTGCTATTTGCCCAGTGACCCCCACTGGCTGCAGAGCTGGGCTGCCCTTGTTTCATGTGTTCTGAGCTCTGCTGCTCTGGCAGGGCCGGGGTGGGGGTGGGGCGTGTGGATGGGGGTGGTTTTCTGTTAATGTTTTAATTGCATAAAAACTGGGAGCTCAGCTCTGGGCCAGTGGGGAGTCGGTCTGGCTGGCCTCCCGGTTTGGGCTAAATATAGTCTGGGACATCTGCAGAGAAGGGGAGGGGGGCAGAGGGAGCTTCCATTCCCCCCACCTCTGGCCAAGGTGCCCTCTCTGGGCGGGCACCTTGGAGCAGGAAAGGGGATTCTTCAGCACAAAAGGCAGGGGAGAGGTGGGTGGGGGCTGGGCACAGGGGAGCCCTCACCGGTCTGGAGGCCAGTGGAAGGATGGGGTGAACCCAGAGGCTCAGGACAGTGCCTGCTGGCAGGAGTGGGGCGCAAGGGGCTGGAGCGAAGGGCTCTGCTCGCCTCCCCTCCGCGATGCCTCCGTGTGTCACTGCGCCCGGCTGGTGTCACCGCGACCCACTCGCCGTGTGCTTGTGTGTACACACCTACCTTGGAGCGGCTCCCTCCCCCAGAGCCTCGTCCCCTGGGTCCTACTGCAGGTTCCCAGCCCTGCTTCCTTTTGTCCCTTGCCCCACAGTGAAACCTGCAGCCCAGGAATCGAGACTTGAGAAGGGGAAGCTGCGGTGGGGAGTTCTCTGATCTCCAGTCACGGCAGGAAGTGGAGGGGAGGGGGGCCGAGGAGGGGACCTGAGTGGCAGGCGTGGAGGGAGGGCCAACCTGGAACGCTGTGGTGGGGGGCGGCCAACCTCCCAGCCACCCCTCTTCCCTCCAGCTCCAAGTGGGGCGGACCTCGGGAACAGCTGATTTCCCAGGGGCTGCTAACCATCCTCATCACCCTCCCCACGCTGGGAAAAAAAAAAAGTCTTCCTGTCATGTGACTGTCACTTCCTGTCCCACTGTGGTTCCTGGGAT